CCCGATGCGGGACTCGATCCCAGGACCCTGGGATCATGACCTGAGCCGAAGGCAGACGCTTAACCATCTGAGCCACCCAGGCGCCCTATTTATTTTTAAGATTTTATTTGGCAAAAAAACTATGGAGCTAATCCATAGTTTTCATTCCCTGAAGAAACCAAGGCCCAGGAAGGTGACACATCTTTGAGAAGAGGCTAGCCAAGCCTGGGCCTCTCTCCCCCTCGCACTTTCAACAAAACCAGGGGGAGAAGCAATGAGGGCTGGGAGCTGTGCCGGCCAAGATGGCAGCCACGCCCATGTGGCTACGGGGCACTTGAAAACAACTAGTCTGAAGTGAAACGTGCTGTAAAGTGTAAAATACACCCCAGATTTCAAAGAGTTCGTGTGAAAAATAAAATGCAAAATATCTCAATTTTTTTAACAGTTACACATTGAAATATTAAGGCTTTGACACACTGGGTCACACAAAATGTATCATCAATGTTACTTTCATCATCTTACTTTTTTAATGTGGTGACTAGAAAATATGAAGTTACTTTTGTGGCTTGAATTATGTTTCTATTGGACAGCGCTGTCTTAGGCTGTAAATCCAGAAAATACTTTGGGGTCATTTAGAATGACAGTTACATAAATGCTAGTTAATAATTATTTTATAGTATTCTTAATAGGGAGGGATGCTTCAAAGGATCTGAGAGTCTGTACATTGCCAAGAAAACAGAAAGACTGTCCTTAGGACACACTAAATGGGGTGGGAGGGGAGGACTCGTAGGGAGTAGCAACCTTTTAAAAGGAAAAATGAAACTTCCTCTGGAAAGAAACTCAAACCCTCCACAGGGTTGGGGGGCTGACTCTAAGGGTAAGAGACAGTCTATAATCTCCCAACGCATCCACTTAACGTATTTCTGACATTTTGATGTTTCTACAGTGTTCTTAGAGACTGACAAAAGAGCTTATACATATAAACAAATAATCAGAAAGACGTGAAAACACATTCCAGAAGAAGAAGGCAGAGGTGTACGCATCCTAAAGAGAGGTGCCTTACCTGGACTGATGACCACCCAGCCGCCTCGCTCCTGCTGGTGCATCCAGGCTCTCCAGCCTCGAGCACCCTTCTCCCCAGCCCGGGGCTCCCCGCTGTCCCAGAAGGGCTCAAAGAATTCCACCTGTTCAGGTTCAAAATACGGAGGTGAGCCTAACTTGTACAAAACTGCTGAGTCACTGAGCAAAGTGTGCTCTAATCGGCCTAAGAGGGGCTTGTGGTTGAAATCTTGGGTGCCATCAGTCTTTCCAGTAGATATAGGATACACCCCAAAACAGAAAAAATAATGAGCTAGTGTGGTAGGCGGCCTCCAAGATAGCCCCCCGTGACCCTACCCTTGCCTTGTGGCATTCACACCCCTGAGTGTGGGCTGGGTCTAGTGACCTGTAACAAACAGACACAGTAAAGCGTGACGGGCTACGACTTCTGAGAGTCTGTTACAGAAAGACTGGCCATGGTCAGCGAGAAGGGCCTCCAGCTGGGTAGGAGAGGAATGGTTTCCCAGCTCTGACCCTGGTAGGCCAGTCTAACTGGGGACAGGGACAGAGCCCGTTCCCCTAAAGCCACGGGGCCCCTGAATACCTGAAATCATGTCGCTTTCAAGACCTTCCAAGGAGAAGGGGATTCAAAGTTTCAATAGGACAGACTGGGAGCTACTGAGGGCATGACATCTCAACTCTGTGTTCCTAAAATCTGGCACAGTGCCCAATACCTAGTAGGGACTCAATAAACGCTTGTTGGCACAGCCAGTGAATAAAAAGGTCTGTGTGTTAAAGCCAGGCCCTGTGATCACACCTCTGCTCTCATGCATTTGGGCATTAGGTCTGCTGTGTGTGGTGACCAGTTCAGTGCAGTAATTCCCTGTAGAGGAGAATGTGAACACAGCAATGAACAGAAAAGCAATCGTGTTATTACCTGACAATAGGGACTTTATTTTTTTTAGCTGTTTTAATTCTTTTTTAAAAATATTTTATTTTAGAGAGAGACAGAGAGAGAGCACAAGCAGGGGGAGTGGCAGGCAGAGGGAGAGGGAGAAGCAGGCTCTCCGCAGAGCAGGGAGCCCGATGCGGGGCTCGATCCCAGGACCCTGGGATCACGACCTGAGCTGAAGGCAGGCACTTAACCAACTGAGCCACCCAGGCACCTCGACAATAAGGACTTCAAAAGTGAGCCAACCACTTGCTCAAGGAAAGCGTTTGTAAGAAACCTTTAGAAGAAGACGAGGCTTCCAGGGGCAAGCTGTGGACCAGGAGCCGCAGGACGGTCCAGCCTGAGCCCAGCGCGGTGCCCCGCACGCCTGCAAGAGGGCCGCATGCAAGAGAGCCCCGGGAGGGCAGGGCAGTGGTCTGGACACGGGCCCCGCACCGAGGGCCCAGCAGCCACCTCAGGTAGGGGAGCTGGAAAGACCACGCTCCCTCTTCGCAGTCTTGCTCTACAGGAGGGATAGAAGAAAGCGCACTCAACAAAAAGAAGTGTGGCTTTTTTTAAAGTGTGAAAGTTACAACTGATTTATTTATATTCCATAGCAACACAGACCAAGGGGCGCCTGGGTGGCTCAGTTGGCTACACGTCTGCCTCTGGCTCAGGTCATGATCCCAGGATCCTGGGATTGAGCCCCATGTCAGGCTCCGCAGGGAGCCTGCTTCTCCCTCTGCTGCTCCCCCTCCTCATGAGCTCTGTCAAATAAATGAAATCTTTAAAAAAAAAAAAAAAGGAAAAAGAAACACAGACCAGACTCTGCTTCTTTCATGCTATACTACTGTGTCTTATAACAATGTCTCTCAGTTTTAAAGATATGGAATGTCCTCAAAGATAAAGCTTTATTTCAAAGTTGTCTTGTAAATGCTTTGAAACTACATGTGTTGTTAGTATTGAAAACCTCCAGGGCACGCAGCGGGCTCTGCTGACACTTGAGGGGAGTGGCTCCTCATGCTTCACAGTCCCGGGCACTGCCCTCCCCGCAAGGAACTGTTCTCATCACAGTCCGTGATCATCGGCAAAGGGCGGGGATGAGGGCCATTCTGACCCTGACCCCACAACCACACACCCAGGGCCCCGCAGTCCGCCAAGATTCACTTCCGTAGCACGGCATATTCTTAAAACAGCACACCAGGTCTTAAAATAATTTTGTTATCTGGCTTATGATACTACTAATCAGGTATACTAATATTAACCAATATCCTTTAACCCAATTTTGTCTAGGAAAAAAATAGATAAAAATAATGATGAAAAAAATAGTCTTTAAAGGCAATTCAGGAACATTCCACAAGATGGAGATCTTAGCCTCCCGAGACCTCTATAAATTCAGATATCCTATCCATCTTCCACCAGACCCCCTTTGCAAAGTCGGAAATGGAGATTTCTTCCAAGGAAAAATGGAGAAGGCGGCTTTCTTATATGGGTAGCTCTATGATGAGTTTTTTTTATTGCTTCACATCACAAATATGGGCAATGTTCACTTGTCATCTAAATGACAACACCTCCCCAATTAGGATCAGTGTCGAGAAAGTGCCAACATGCGCTATCGTTTGCAATTCCTGCAAAGATCTCACGTAGTGGAAATGCGAACTGGGAAAACGACCTAAGACCTAGCTTCACATGCACAGAGGGAGGAGACAGTGAGACGTGCTCTAAGAGGCATGACCCCTGTTTCTCTGCCTGGTGGGGACAATCAGCACTGAAACAAGGCCCACAAGTAAGAAAAGAAAGGGAGGGACACAGTTGAGTCTTTATATTGGGGGGAGCAGATCTTTCATCTCTCCAAGTTTCACTACCTTCATTATGGAATTTTCCTTGGATCACCAGCATATTCTGAGCAACAGTTCTCAGCAGGACAGATACAAAGAGGATAGGATTTTAAAAATACTACCACCACTTCCCATTATCCACACTTGCCCCCAGAAGACAGAGAAGGAGAAAGGAAGGGGGAGAGAGGGAGGGGGAGAGAGGGACGGGAAGAGAAGGAGAGGGGAGAGAGGGAGGGGAGAGGTCGGCCTCACAACTAAACCCGCACCTGTCCTCTGGTAGGCAGGTCTTTCACGCTGTCTGGCTTGAAGAAGGTGAAGTCCACCATGGCCTGGAAGAGCGAGATCGCCTTCTCAGAGTGACCGGCCTGCCGCAGGAAATGACAGTGCTGAAGAAAGAGAGCTGAGAGCAGGGGAGCAAAGGGACAAGCCTGGTTAACATCAATTCAAGGGAAAGAACACAACTTCTAACAACATGCGTTTCAACACCGAGAACGTGTTTTCTCCGAAATTAGCTCCTGTGATCTTTTCAAAAGCTGTACTAATACGCGTCCTCGTTAAAAGGACTCACCACGGAACTGTAATCAAAGTACATTTATTCCAATTTTTATATGAAACCATTGTGGAATACAAATATTAACAACTATATATGCTGCATAAAAGTAAGGCAAGAGAACGGGCTGCCTGGGTGCCTCAGTCGGTTGGGCGACTGCGTTCGGCTCAGGTCATGATCCTGGAGCCCCGGGATCGAGTCCCGCATCGGGCTCCCTGCGGGGAGCCTGCTTCTCCCTCTGACCCTTCCCCCTTCTCATGCTCTCTCTCAAATAAATAAAATCTTAAAAAAAAAAAGTAAGGCAAGAGGTTGTTCTCAACAGTTACCAAATACTCAAAGCTCATTATTACAAGAAAATTCTAGGAGAAGGATGGTATAGATTTTCATCAGAAAGCAAAGATCTGTGCTCGATGGATCACCAGATGGTGATCCCTCTTCATCATTTGTTCGGAGGCCACTGTAAACAAATCAAGATTCCATCTATGAAAATTTCAGTTTGTCTGAATTGTGGTACAGTTTCATGTTCTGAGTAACAATAGGCTATTTGCGCATACCACAAATGGTATCAAATATGAGGCTCTTTATGTCAGTGTTGTAAATACTTATTATTTCGAGAACAATATATTTATATCTTTAGAATATAAATATAAATATGAATGAATGAGAATCTAATCTAAAAGTTAAATACAGGGGTGCCTGGGTGGCTCAGTCAATTAAGCATCTGCCTTTGGCTTGGGTCATGATCCCAGGGTCCTGGATCAAGCCCCGCATCGGGCTCCCTGCTCAGCGGACAGCCTGCTTCTCCCTCTGCCCCTCCCCCTGCTCATGCTCTCTCATCCCTCTTTCTCTCTCTCTCCAAATAAAATCTTTACAAAAAAAAAAAAAAAGAAAAGAAATAGCAAGGTTTTGATCAAATAAACACCTGCTGTGTGCTGGACACGGAGCCAGACTCACCATGGGTCAATCTCCGTTAACGTGCTCGATGACCCTATAAAGCAAGTATTGTATCATTGCTGCTGAGCGAGAAACTGGAGCTCAAGCAGGTTAAGGAAATATGCAAGGTCTCAAGAGAACCAGTGAAGGGCAAATCCAGGCTTCAAGTCAAGAGTGATACTCTCCAGCTCCTGTGTGACAGGCTGCCTTCTGTACCTCATTACCGGACAGAGTTCATATTCTAGCTCCTTTGGGACACAGAACGTTAACAGTATAATAATATCGTTAACTGCCTCTGCGTGCTGATCCCCAGCCATCGGGGCATCCCCACGAACACCACCACCTGAGGTCCCAGAACGGGTGAGATGAGCGGACAGACACCGCAACAGGGAAGGCCACAGACAGCCACAACAGCTGAGACTTGACTGTTTCCTTGGCTAATAAGCAGAAAAGCTGGGACTTCTAGGCTGGGGATACTCTGCTAACTTCACCGGCTCCGATGCCCGCTGTGCATCCTCACCAAGAAGGTGGAGAAGCGAGAATCTGGTCTAGTCCAAAGGAGTCCTAATACTTTGTTTAAATCCGTTGTATCAATTTGGCCATTTCTAAAATAAACCAAAAACACACGTTCATTTCTGCCTAGCGCCAGAAGAAAGTGTAAGTCCCCCGACACGCAGGGACCTGGTGCTCAGCCTCTTACCGAACACGGCCTCCTCGGTGCCAGGCAGGGCGGGGTGCGACAGGATGCTGCCATCCTGCACCGCGGACAGAGTGCTCAAGCATTTGCCGTAAAGACCGTGGATCTTCGACACGGTGAAGGTGCTGAACTGGCTTTGGCAAAATAAAAGGTACTTCTGCCAGAGGGCTGTACTGTTGGGGTGTACAAATATCAGTTTCTGCCACTCCTTGAGCAGCGCCGAGGGCTCCCAGAACTCCGCGCACAGCTTCAGCCGGGCCAGCTTCAGCTCCACGGAGCTCTGGTTGCTCTCAATGGCCCGCTCCAGGATGGCCAGCTGCTTCTCCAGCACCAGCTTCACAGACCTCTTCCGCTTCTCCTGCTCCCCCTCCTCCAGGGCATACAGGCCAGGGCTCCGCACGACCTCGTCCTCAAGACAAAAGTGTCAATTCACAACCGGAAGTCGGGGAGCCTCAAAAGCCCGCCATCGCCCCAGAGCTACTTGCAAGGCCCGCCCTCCGGCGCCTCCCAGGACGAAATCTCCCTTCGGACCTCCTTGGCTTGCTAGTCACCATTTTTTCTGGATGGAACTCCGTTCCTCGGGTTCCCGTTGGCTCGTGTTTCCCTCACCCGACCGTCTGCGCTCCGTCATGGGAGTTACATACCGGGAGCGAGCATGCAGCGCCCCGAGCGCTGCTTCTCAAGAGCCCACTTTACCCACGACACAGGCAGATGTGGGGCAAAATACACCCGTACGAGCGGTTCAAAAACAAGTGAGCAGGACGAAGCCAGAGCCCCACCTGGGTCGTCGGGGGAGCAGCGCCTTCTCTTCTCCAATTCTGCGCATTCTGTACCCTGCACCACCCCCCCTCACCCCCGGGATGAACAAGGGCGCTTCTTCCCAGATTCTGTTTAAATTCCACCTTCTTTTACGAGCCCTTTCGTGCTCCCTAGAGCCAGGTCATGCCGTCTCCCACCCCCAAATTACACATGAAAGCACTGACTCTCCACACGTCGGGCTTCCTCATGGGCTTGGAGCAAGCTCAGGGCAAGGGCTCCAGGGTAATACACTTCCAATGCCTGGGGCCCGGGTTCCTCCCAGGGGCTCAGAAACGACTGTGGAGCGCACTGGTTTGCCCCAGAGTAGCACAGTCTTTCTAAATAAGAGCAGCAGGACGGCGCTACTTACCTGAAAAGCAACGAACGCCATCCACAGCTGAATATCGTGAGGGTTCTCCCGCACTCTCCTGTTGAACTCCTCCACCTTGGCCTTGAGCAGCACACGCTCTCTGTCTGTCTGGGAGTCTGGCTGCTTTGATTCTTGCTCTGGAGGACCCTGTCCTTGTAACCACTGCGTGGTGGACTGATCGTAAATCCCCAGAGGGTTCAACCAGGTCATAACGGGAGGAACCACATCATCCAAGCCCTTCACGGGGATAAAGGAGATTGGCTCAGATGAGGGAGGTTCAGTTTTACTGCCAACAGCAACTCCATCAACGTTCATTAAGCCCACGCTCTTCTTCGTAAAATAGCGCTCAACATGCTTGTGTGAAGGCTTCTTTCCTGCGGCAGCCCCCTCCCAGGATATACACTGCTTCTTAGGGTTAATGCCAAGGCAGGAGTCTCCTTTCCTCTTGTATCTTGTATTTGAAAAAGAAAGACAGTTACTGAGGGAACAGGTGCATAGCCCTGCACCAGTGGGGGCTCAGCTCAGCGGATGAGCTCTTGTGAAGCAAGCTAACTTCACCTTACCTTCCAACGGTTTCTATTTAGAGAAATACGACAATTAGCAATCAACTTTTTCTGTGTGGAACTTATTCCTCTGAACACTTCAATTCTTTGTTAACATCGCATGAATTTAAGATCAGGCCTGTCTTCCAGATTCTAGTAATTTCTATTTTTCCTGGAGTTTTGTAAAGTTTGCCCCATACATTACATCACTGATCATCACGATCCTACGTAACAGACAAGGGGTAAATCTTCAACCCCTCCTTTACACTATTCGTAAAGACACCAGAACCTTGGGTGACAGTGAGTCATCTGTCTCCTACACCGGTCCCTTTTCCTCAATATAGTCCTGTGTTCCCACGTAAGAAGAAAACGGGGAGGGCTAAGATTGTATTTTTTTTTTTTTTGATTTTTTTTTTTTTATTTATTTATTCATGAGAGACACAGAGAGAGGCAGAGGCAGAGGGAGAAGCAGGCTCCCAAGGAGCAGGGAGCCCGATGTGGGACTCGATCCCAGGACCCTGGGATCATGACCTGAGCCGAAGGCAGACGCTTAACCATCTGAGCCACCCAGGCGCCCCTAAGATTGTATTTTTAATCCTGAAACAAAATAATTAAAATTACACGTGGCTGTTTTCTACTCCAGAGGGAGAGAGGCTGGGTTCTAAAAGGCCTGTATGGCGCGTGCAGGTGCCCCCAGAATCACACTCACAACTACTGAGTATGTGCCTGAAGGCTGAGGGAACCGTGCACGCTTCTGCAGGTGTGTTACACAAACCACCCGTTAAAGAATGGGCAAAGGATCCAGGCAGAATTCACAAAAGATGACATGAAGGGCCAACTGGCGCATGCAGAAGTGCTCACCATCATTAATCATGAGGGAAGTGCCAATTAAAACTGCAAGGCGCTATGCCACATACCCACCAGAACGGCTAAAATTAAACACCGAAGACACTGAACCCCAGGGAGCGATCTGCTGGGGAACCAGGACTCTCACATGCTGTTAGTGAGAATGGAAACTGGTACAGTCACTCTGGGGAAAGGTCTGGCAGTTACACTTACCCTGTGAACCGGCAATTCTATTTTAGGCATTCCCCCAAGAAAAAGGAAACTGCCTTTCTACACAAAGACGTGTGCACAGATATTCTCAGCTGAATGCCATGAAGAGCCCAGGTGCTCATCACTAGGAGAACAGATAAACAAGCCACGGTATGGCCACACAACGGAAGGTGACCAGCAGTGAGAACAAACTCCTGACAAACACCACAATGGCGCTGGATGTCAAACACATCACACTGAGTGAAAGAAGCCGGGCCCAAAGGCGTACGTACTATATGATTCCATTTATATGGAATTCCAGAAGAGACAACGCTAATTGAGGATGGAAAAAAATTAGGACGGTAACTGCCCCTGGGGAGGTGGGGTGTGGACTGAATGGAAGAGAGCAGGAGGAAATTTGGGGCGGGGGCGGTCACAGTGATGTTCTATATGTTCACAGAGGGCTGGATTATACAGGTGTATGCATGTGTCCAAACTCAGCAAATGAAGATCTGTGTTACACTGTATGTGAATTTTAAGTCCAAAGAAAAAAATAAACAAATCTTGAACTGCAGTTGACATGCATGCTGAAGTATTTAGGGGGCAGTACATGGAAGCTGGCACCAAAAAAATAAGACAGACATGTGATAAGGCAGGCGCAGTAAAATATTAATGGTAGAACGCAGAGGGTGGGAATAGGAGCATTCACTGTAAAATTCTTTCAACTGATGCTGTATTTTTAAAATTTCCATAATATCATGCTGTCAGGGAAAAAAAGGGAGCAGCCACCATCTTCTGTCATCTTCCAGAAAGTTCTGTGTCCACCTCCACCTGGTCCAGGCCCAGCACCTCCTTGGCTCCCCCACAGTCAACAGGTGCCTGAGCAGCCGCCCTCCCAGCTCTCACATGCACACAAACCCTTCCTCTCCATCCTCTCCCCCAGGCCCACCTAGGTTAACTCATGACAATCTGTCTCTGGTACCTTTAGGAGTCAAAACTGTAACGAGGGGTGAGGAGATAAAACAGTGCTTCAAGAACTCTAAACACACCCATCGTTCTGTCAGAAACAAACTGTAAGTAGAACTCGTTTTGTTCTCCCCTTAACTACTATTTTATTTTTGCTAAAAATCAACAGTATTTCAACATTCACATAATCTCTTAAAAAATGTTTAGAGTTTTCTGACTTTACAAGTGCATTTTCTAAAGCTGATTTTAACAGCTGCATTTCATAACAGATGAAAATGATAAAGGAAGAAAAAAGAGTCTTACTGATCTGTATTATTAAGTGCCTGCTTTCAGATATGTGTGTACATGTGTTTATATGTGCACTCACACCTCTTTTTAAAAATAGTTGATACACAACTCTGGGCTTTTCTCCCTACTTCTGTGCATTTCCCCATACCATTCTTTTTAGAAAATACCATTTTTATTGGTTTTGAATCAATCCATTGGCAGGGTAAGCCCTCATCTAGTTAACATTTCTCTATTGTTGGACCTTTGAGTTTTACCTAATTTAGGTAAAATCTATCACATCTATCACAGAACCTTAACTGGACATTTGGGTTTTATCTAATTTATCATTTATCACATAACCTTAATCATAGAACCCAGGATGTAATTTAATGCAATATTCCCCCACATGAAGGCATTTTTTTCTGTAAAATCTTTATCAAAAAGTCAGCTGGTCTTGGGTGCCTGGGTGACTCAGTCATTGGGCATCTGCCTTCGGCTCAGGTCATGATCCCAGGGTCCTGGGATCGAGCCCCGCATCAGGCTCCCTGCTTGGCGGGAAGCCTGCTTCTCCCTCTCCCACTCCCCCTGCTTGTGTTCCTGCTCTCGTGCTCTCTCTCTCTCTGCCAAATAAATAAATAAAATCTTAAAAAAAAAAAAAAAAGTCAGCTGGTCTTACCTGAATAATTCCAGGAGGGAACCCCACTTTGGAGGGTCAGTGAATGACACCATAGGGACATTTAATTTAAATGAATTTAGCTACAGGAAAAGGGAAGGGATGGGAAAGGGGGAAAGAAAAGAAAGAGGGACAGGGTATGGGAAAAGAATATATTTAAATCGAGCACACACTTCCGCCCTGAATCCACTCAGCGGCCCTAAGCGCCAGAGGGAGCTGGGCAATAATAAGTTTGCCTTTCCTTCAGTGACTTCAGTTCACACATGCTCTCATGGTGGCAGTCTACCTGGGTCCAAATTCCAACCCCATCATCTACTAACTAGGTGACCCTGAACAAGTTATTTAAAACAAAACCCCCAAACCTGTCTGTGCCTGTTTCCTCATCTGTGGAATGGGGATAATAATGGTACCCTGTCAGAGGGCAGCAGGGATGATCAAGAAGTTTATGTGTTTCAAGTCCTTAGCCACACAGTAAGCACTAGACAACCGAAAGTTATTACTATTTTAGAAGACTTGGCTCCTAAACATAAGGCAACTATTTCATCTGGTATATAGTTAAAGAAACAATCCACTCCATAAATGGAGAAGAAATGGAGCTGAACTTCACTGAGAGCTAGTGTATTAGCCCTAAGGAATGTTCCTAAGGTAGTTTTGACGCTTACCCACGGACCCTTAAGCCCTGCTCACCACAATACGCGAACGCACACCGGGTCACTGCTGGGAGGCTCACACTACTAGAAAATTTGCTTTGATACTGAGTCAAATCTCCTTTCTGCAACTTCCACCCGTTGATCCTGGTTCTGCCTTCCCGAGTTACACAGAACATTGCCAATCTACCTTCCAAAAGATGGTCCATTGAAGCTTAAAGGACTCTGACCACATTGCTGTCCCAGGCCCATACCCACAAGGCCTCACCTGGTCCTCACAGGACGGTGCCAGCCGAGTCCTCTCAACGCTCCTGCTTTGTCAGTGCCTTGGTGAAGTGTGAAAATTCACGACCTGACAAAACACGCCCTCTCCTCTGACCAACTCACAGTGCCATGGGGTCAATACTTCCCTAGATCTGGACACTGACAGCGGTACAGCTATTAATCCAGGTAAGACTCAGCTCACCTAAGCTTCAGGAATCTACTGGGAAATCACACCAATGCCCCAAGCCCTTCCAATAGCATCTTCACAATTTAGATTAGTAAACTTCTCTCATTACTCTCCTCCTAAGGTCTGGGCCTCTCATTAGCAGAGATTTAAGAGCCAGTCATTGTAAATATTTTTCCTTTTTCATCTATTAATAAGTAATAACCCTTTATCTGTGCAAACTAATGTCTAATTTCTATCGATGATGTCTGATATCTGAGCGTGCGGCATAGCAGGAGTTAACAAATGAAGAAACAGAGGCTCAGACAGGGTGACTCATGGGGGATTACATTATCAGTCGGTGGCCAAGTGAGAATGAGAACCAGGGTCCTCCGTTTCCCAATGTAGAAAACATCCTACCACACAACCAAGCTCATCTTTATTTGTGGACAGGAAAAGAATATTTGAGGTTAGAGGAACATAGGTTCCCCAAGAAAGCTGCTTCCTGGCAGCATGATCTTGAGAGGCTACTTACCCTCTCTGAGGTTCCTTTTCCTCGTTCATAAAATAAGAGTGTGGTTCTCCTCACCAGCTGTGAGGATCACACACGCTAACAAGCACGGGCTCAGTCAGTGTTCGCTGGCGCCCCCCATCTTTTCCTGGGTCCTACCACGTCTGTGGCACCACACCGCGGGGCCACGGGGAACTGAACAAGACTTTAAGGAGTGTTAAAATTATTAAAAAATGTATGAAAACGTTTTGATAGTCATTTACTCTCAGCCATAAGGTTTTAGGAGACAGCATGCAGATATAAACATGCACTGAAAAATCACAGATATAAACACATCATAAAGGAAATCTTAGTTGGAACTGCCTATGTGGTGAGGTATAATGTCGTGATGAATGATAATTAAAATCTGGAGGCACAGCAATGTAGTGGAAACCAAAATTTATTTTAAAAAGTAATTAGCCTATAAAGAATGATAATGGTCTCCTCTTGGCTTTACATTCCAATATTCTCTACCTCCCATTTTCATTACCTATAAGCTGTCTGGGAAGAGAGATTGTGTATTACTGTTCTTTGTGTTCCCAGCAGTGTCTTACAAACTACTCAGTGCCTAAGGGATTTAATGAGTACCTAAATATTTTTTGATTGACAGGGTAGAGGAGAAAAGTTTAATAAACTAATTACTGAAGTGAATACCATCATCTCTTTTTTATCTGGTGACGTATGCTGGAAGCATTTTGAAAAAGTCATTACCACTTAATGTCACTTTTAAAATGGCTTACTGGGGGGACAGATGAATAAAAAGCTTTCGTGACTTTTTAAAATGGCATACAGATCAGACCAAATGGTTTCTGGATAGTTTGTCACAATTACTTATTTCAAGGTATTTTTTAGATTCATTCATTCAACAAGTATTTACTAAAAACCTGCTACACCCGGCACAATGCCAGGCACCACAGAGTGTGAGATAAGACACATGCCTCCACAGCTCAGCGATGGAGGACACCCACCGGAATCCAGAAGGGGGGCTGGGGGCAGACAGAGACCGCGCAGAGAGGGTTCGGGGGAGAAGGAAGTTACTTCCCACCAGTGAAAATCAGGAAAGACATCGTGACGGGTACCTTGCTATGTCTCCTCGGTAGAGAGACTTATACTCCCAGTTAGCCGGATCCGGTTTCTTATCTGTTCTGAAGGTTTCTCCAGTCAGAGCCTGAACGTCCTCAAGCCAAACAAAGCGATGCCCAATATCAGCGGCAGCATTACCTTCTTGACTGTGGGACACAGGAAGGTGAAGAACAAAGAGGGAGATGCACTTTGAAATCTTCTAGCTACATCGTCCACCTTTTCAGAACAATGAAAGTTAAACATTTCAACACTGATGCTCCACACAGCATCAAACACACCCAAGTATGTCAAATGTGCACGTGCCACAGACGAAGAGGATTCCTGCTGTGGAAAAAGCTTTAAAATATGAAGCCAAGACTGTCCACGCTAAGTGGCACTTTACCAAGAAATCACCTTATCTCAGAAATTAACCTGACACAAGAGTTTTTATTTTTTTAAAGATTTACTTATTTATGTTATTAGAGACAGGCAGGGGGGACAGAGAGAGAGAGAGAGAGCACCCGGGGAGGAGCAGAGGGAGAGGGACAAGGAGAGAAGCCGACACCCCGCTGAGCACAGAGCCCAGAGCTCGATCCCATGACCCTGAGATCATGACCTGAGCTGAAATGAAGAGTCGGATGCTTAAGCGACTGAGCCACCCAGGCGTCCATAGGTGTTCTTTTTAAATATTCTATTAAATGACTGTAACTAGAATTTCAAATATATTTATAAACGAGTTTTCTCTAAAAATAAATAAAGTGGGTCGCCCTTGCTTAGCCTTAACTCAGTAGAAAGTGCTCGGATTATTCCAACTCAAAACTTAACAACAGCAACATGACAGTTCCAAATGGGTCAGTCTCACATATTATTCAGACTTGGTCTAAGTCTTGTTTTTATAGCCCGGGCGCTGTGGACTGACCTTCTCTCTTACACCAAGGCCGGAGAGAGCCACTGTGAGACCGGACCCTTACTTATCCCTCTGAACCAACCTGAGAGTTGGCAGACTTCCAGCTGAGACACAAATGGAACCACTTCCCTAGGAGTCAAACGAGAGGGGGAGGTAAAGTTTTTCTGGCATCTAACATCTTCCCTCCTCTAAAGAAAATCAGTTCATCATGCTGCTGGCACAAGAAGCTGCCAAAGTAGTCAAAACAGCCCTTAACCTTGTTCCATCTTTGCTTTTGACTCTGCCCAGATAGAAATAAAGATTCTAACGGCTTCTAAATCATCCTTGACTGGGAATATAGAGGAATGGCATTTCGGGGACACAAAGTAGCTTTCAATCAAGTGTTTGCTGAATAGGTTAAAATACATGGTGATTTTTAACACATTCCCCTTCAGAACATCTATGGAGGGTTTTCTGTTGATAAACACCATAAGGGGCAGCAAAAGGAAGCAATGAGATGGATGCATTCCAGAAAGAAATGGAAAGCCCACGGGGGAGGGAGGAGGAAGTAGACCACACCCGGGGAATAAACGAGCTCTGATCCTCCTATTGGGTACTGAGGTCAGGAAGCAGGATGTGGTCTGGGCTGTGCACAAGGGAGGATCTGCCTCCACCTGAAGGTGAAGAGCTCACCCTAGGAGACAGAGGTCGCTGAAAAGCTGTAGCCTTAGGGGAAGTCATCCTTCGATCACTCAAAAATAGAGTTCCTATATGGTGCATTATACCCCCGAGAACCCACTTTCCCGACATTACAGAAGTCTCACAACTCACTAATACCTTAGTCCTTGTCTCTATGGAAACAATTCCTCCAGGTCATCTTCCCAGGAAGAGACTACAGAAGTTCACAGTAAGAAAGTAAAAGAGAAGAACAAAAAGAGTAGATTTTGATCTTAATGGGGATATTCTGAAAAATATCAATGAACTTAAAAATGCTATCTGGATCACAGAACCATCAAGAGGCTCTAAAGTTCACCTCTGATGTGATTACGCCTAGGCTGAAAATAACTACCTTCCAAGTTCTAATGGTAGTTCCTGTGTAGGTTCAGAAAATCCTTTAAAACTCATTTTCCTCAACTTTAAAAAAAAATGGACAAGTAGCTAAGAGTGAGTTTCCAGAAGAAGCAATGATTAATGTATGGTGCTTTGAAGACACACCAAAAAGCAAAAATACCAATAATGTATTCATTCATTCACACAACAGAAATGTACTGAGCGCTTACTGTGCATCGGGCCCTGTGGCAGCCACTGAGGGGTTACAAGGGCAAGCGAGACAGGAGTGATTCCTGCCCACATAAACTCGGCCAAAGTCAGAACCATTTTATTCTCCCCTCCTAGAGCAAGCCTGGGTTACAGATGGAGAACCTGAGGCACAGAGACGGCAGATTCAACCTGGACGCCCCGAGCCACAGCGGCCTGCGAGGCTCTCCACAGATCTGGTGGCAGGAGGATCCAGGAGGGTCCACCTGCCTGATGGAGACCCCGTGGGTCAGATTCCAGACTCACTGCACCACAGAGCTCTCACAGATGTCAGTGGGACGTCTAAGCATATGACAAAAGCAAATAATGCCTGAAGAGTCAAAAAAAAATCCTAATAGCCCTAAATTTTTTAAGTATGCCTTGCATGGGGACTTCAACCTTCTCTTCTGGCCCATACGAACAAAGAAAAGAAAAAAGTGAGGGGCGCCTGGGTGGCTCAGTTGGTTAAGCGATTGCCTTCGGCTCAGGTCATGATCCTGGAGTCCCGGGATCGAGTCCCACTTCGGGCTCCCTGCTCAGCAGGGGGTCTGCTTCTCCCTCTGACCCCCCCCCCGTCTCATGCTCTCTCTCTCTCAAATAAATAAAATATTTTTTAAAAAAAAGTTTTAAAAAAGAAAAGAAAAAAGTGAAATGAGAAACGACTCAGGTAGTTCCAGCACGTGCCGCCTGTCGTAGGCCTGGGAGAAGGGCCCCCCGCGGGGGAGCAGAGGAGACGAGGCAGAGGAGGGGCTACCAGCGAGCGAACGATGGGAGCAACAGGCGCAAGGGAGACAGCGGAGCAAAATGTGGGGAGAAGCAAAGCCCCCAGGAAAGGAAATACTATGTTCATGGGCCAGTCTACAACTTCCACACCGTGCTGGAAGGAAATGTGAGGTAAGAAATGATGACTGTAAGTGCTATACCGCCCTTAACCAAAGAGTGTGTGCCCAGCAGAGGGGGGCTGTCGGGGGGGCAGCTGATGCGAGCGATGGAAAGGGAGAGAAACTATGGAAGAGAAGTAAGACATTCCTCTTGCTCTGACCCTCACAGACGGGACCCTTAACTATGTAGTAAACTGGCCCATATTCCCATGGCGTGGCACATCAGCCATCTTTCAAAATCCCAAAGACTTTTTGTCTGAATCAGATTCTGACACAATCATTACTGTGTCTAAATAACACTTCTCAAATAAAATCACGGCCCTAATTTTTTTAATGAGTTTTCTTCTTCTTTTTTTTTTAATGTTGACCTAATGGTAGAGCTCTATTTGGGTTTTTTTTTTGGACTCCATTTGACTGAGTGGCTACAGAGTCATTCAGATACCTCATTTGTGGCAACAACTGAGGGAAAAAAATTCAAAATTTGAAAAGTCATAGGTATTTGAGAATAGAAAACCCACCTTGGTTTCTCTGATTCCTTTCTACTGTCTCCAGTGCTTCTGGAAGTTTTGTCCTCTTCAGGCTCACTATCTGGCTCGGAGCCACTGCTACTGGCCTGCCCACGTTTTCTCTTGGTTTTCTTGTGGTGATGTTTCCTCTTCTTCTTTTTCTCTTTCTTCTTTTTTCTGCTTGTTTGTTTGGGCTTTCTGTTAGCATCACTTTCATCCGAAGGCTCTGATTTCAGAGGACTCCTGTTTTGGGAAAATCAACATTAGAATTATTTTCAGATGAGAAGTAGGGAGAAGACTATGAAAATAAGCAAACAAATGTATAAAAGGGAACTCCAGAAATGCCCACAGAGCCTTACTATTTGCCCATATATTTATACAGTGCCTTCCCGGATCACAACTCCCCTTAAGGATTTAAGAGCTGGACCCACCACCCAGAAAAGAAAAGGAAAAAAAAAAAAAGTTGGACCTAAAACAACAGTAGGTGAAGAAATTCTAATTGTAATAGCTTCTAAATCTAGACTTTCACATCTGCACATTTTTAAATGAAAATAATCTACCAGTTATTTTATCAAATATAGAATTTTTTTTAAGATTTTATTTATTCATGAGAGAGAGAGAGAGAGGCAGAGGGAGAAGCAGGCTTCCCGCTGAGCAGGGAGCCCGATGCAGGGCTCGATCCCAGGACCCTGGGATCATGACCTGAGCCGAAGGCAGACGCTTAACCATCTGAGCCACCCAGGCACCCTCAAATATAGTATTTTCTGAAGCAATGTTATAAAGGGTTTATTTTCAGTCCTACATATTAGGGCAGCATGTCCTTAATGACAAAAAAATAAAAAAATTAAAAAAAAAGGTTTAATTCTGGTCCTTGTTTTTATTTAATTTTTTTTTTTTTTAAAGATTTTATTTATTTATTTGTCAGAGAGAGAGAGAGAAAGAGCACAAGCAGGAGGAGTGGCAGGCAGAGGGAGAAGCAGGCTCCCCACTGAGCAGGGAGCCTGACGCGGGACTTGATCCCAGGACCCTGGGATCATGACCTGAGCCAAAGGCAGCTGCTTAACCAACTGAGCCACCCAGGTGTCCCAACCGGTCCTTGTTTTTAAAGGTTATGATGAGCCCTACATTACTGAAATATCTACAGACAACTCTCTCTCCGGCACCAACTAGTGTCCATTTCCAAAGGTTTCCTGCACTTTCGGAGGACTGCCTTCTCAGGGCTCCTCATCTTAATGAGACCACCTAGTCCATAAACTCGAGAGGGCTCACTTCTCAGTTTGATGCTCTACCACAATTTCTTTCAAAGCTTGGTACAGATGTGCGCCATTCTGCTGTCCTCAAAGTTTTCATGAGATTTTATCTGATGTTATATCACACCAGCTTCTGTTTTTCCAAAAATGGTGAAAATGCAACTGAGGGAACATGAGAGTTATAATATTCTAAAGGTTACTAATGAGGTTAGTCAAGTTACTCAGCAATCACACGGTGCCACTTCCCTCGTGGCCTCGTAACTGGCACTGTGTCACACACTTGCCACTACGAAACACAAAGGGGGAAAAGAGGGATAATCTATGAGTGAGGTAAGGGAAAACAAGGAGCACCTCACTAGTTTGAGTAGAAAGAAGAGTTGTAATTCGCTCTTTTATCACAGGGTTTTCTAAGGAGCACTATTCGAACCCAACGATAGACAACACACAGACAAAAACTAAAAATCCATTCTTTCAGAAAAGCTACCTCGTCAGCGGTGACCCTTCAGAAACCAGAGCAGCAGCCTCTTCAGGTTGTTGGCTCAGAGAGGTTATGGCTCCAACGCAAAAGCTCGGGTTGCTCAGCCAATCTAATTCTGCACAAGCAAAGGGGGGAAAAAAATCAACAAAATCAGCTCAATGTGATTTCGAAAGCAGGAAATCCATCTTACCAGCTGACATCCTAATTCACAGCCAGTGTCAGCCAGAGAGTCCGAAGAAGCCGAAGGGAATCCATGAAATTTTTATTTCACAGGGCATGGGGCTTTCACACACTCTAAAATATTTAAGACTGAAATCCTCTTGTGCAATCAGACTGCAGCTTAAGCAAAAGCCACGCAACAAGTGTGGCTTAAAAAGCAACACGGCTTCACGATTCCATCACACTCTAAGGAGCAGGAATTGTTTCCAAAGCACTAGGATTGAATGACCTCAAATTTGACGCAGACAATTCCGAAAAGCTTAAAAATCAAATCATGCACAAAAGCCCGCCATGTTTAATATCGTTACAGAAGATTAAGACATTTTTCTTCAAAAAATATTCCGTTCTCAGTAACTTAACATAAGCCTTTCCTTACAGCAGTACTCTTCTTTGAAAATAAAAACACGGGGTGTCAACTTTGCTAACGCTAAAATGACATAAAATGTTAATAATGATTATCTCTGGGTGGCGAGATTAAATGTTCAAAATTGTTCCTCCTCCTGCTTATCCACTAATTTCTAATTCCTCTGGAATGAACTTTTTCTAAATTACTTATTTCCTAACCTTTTAGGAGTCTTAACTGTGAAGGAAAGGAAAAAGCCATGGGATGATGGACGGGGGTTAGAGGTTGTCCTCTTTTGTTCTAGGATGAGGCTAGAGCACCTGTGACATGGATGAAGTTAGGAGACAGAAGTGTAACTGCACTTTTTTTTTTAAGATTTTATTTATTCATTTGAGACACAGAGATAGAGAGAGAGCATGAGCAGGGGGAGAGGGAGAGGGAGTAGCACGCTCCCTGCTAAGCCAGGACCCTGGGATCATGACCTGAGCTGAAGGCAGACGTTTAACCATCTGAGCCACCCAGGCACTACGTGCACTTCTTAACAGTCATACAGGGATATAATCCAAAAACCATAAGGTTCAGCCATTTAAAATGTACAACCCATGGTTTTTAGTATATTTAGAATGGTACAGAGCGCCTGGCTGGCTGGTATGGAGTCAGTGGAGTATGCGACTCTTGATCACAGAGTCATGAGTTCAAGCCCCATATTGGGCACATAATTTACTTAAAAAAAAAAAAAAAAAAACAAACAGAATTGTGCAACTATCACTGTAAAACAATTTGAGCATTTTCATCATCCCAAAAAGAAACCCCACAGAGAGGTGCCTGGGTGGCTCAGTCGTTAAGCATCTGCCTTCAGCTCAGGTCATGATCCCAGGGTCCTGGGATCGAGCCCCGTATTCAGCTCCTTGCTCAGCGGGAAGCCTGCTTCTCCCTCTCCCACTCCCCCTGCTTGTGTTCCCTCTCTCACTGTCTCTGTCAATAAATAAAATCTTATTAAAAAGAAAAAAAGATAGAAACCCCAAAGCTATTAGCAGTTACCTTCACTCATCTCTGGCTCTTCCACCCCAGGCAACCACTAATCTGTCTCTACAGATTTGCCTGTTTGGGACACTGAATATAAATGAGATCATACAATATAGTCTTTTGTAAGTGGCTTCTTTTACTCAGCATAACGTGTCCAAGGTTCATCCACGCTGTAGCACGTATTCATGCTCCATTCCTTTTTATTGCCAAATAATATTGCATTTTATGGATATCCCACATTTTGTCCATTCATTGGCTGATGGACACCTGGACGTCATTTTGGTTATTATGAACAATGCTCTGTGAATATTCATGTATAAGTTTTTATATGGACATATGTTTTCACTGCTCTTGCCTAGATATCCAGGAGAAACGCTGGGTCATGTGGTAACTCACATTTAGCATTTTAAGGAAATGCCAGACTGTTTTCCAAATTGGCTGCACCACTTTACATTCCCAGTAACTGTATATGGATTCTCTGACTTCTCCAAATCTGATTTCTACTGTCTGTGTTTTATATTATAGTTATCCTACTGGGTGTGATGTCTCTCCTCATTGTGCTTTTCCATTTCCCTGGTGACTAATGACGTGAAGCATCTTTTCATGTGTTTATTGGCCATTCATATTTGAACAGCAATAGTCAAATCCCTTGCCCATTTTTTAATTGGGTTGCCTTTTTAGTCTTGTGCTGGAAGAGTGCTTTATATGTTCTGTCTTCTAGTGCCTGATGATTACTGCATCTTAGTGAGGAGTAGATGCTGAAATGTGTGCTTCTTGGTGACAGGTACTTTGACTCACTGTTGTATCCGTTAGCAATGCCTGGCAATGCGTCAGGAGGAGTTTAATAAATATTTGTGGAAAAGAGGGGAGGGAGGGAGGGAGGAAAGGGACATTAAAAGAAAAAAGAGGGGTGCCTGGGTGGCTCAGTCAGTTGAGTGTCCAACTCCTTGATTTTGGCTCAGGTCTTGATCTC